TTTTTTTTGGTGAAACGTAGTGTATAATTTACTTATTTGTATAAGGTCGTAATGTGATTTTTTTTTGGTGAAACGTAGTGTATAATTTACTTATTTGTATAAGGTCGTAATGTGATTTTTTTTTTGGGTGAAACGTAGTGTATAATTTACTTATTTGTGTAAGGTCGTACCTACTTTTTAAATTTGTTTAAATATCTCAAACCAGCAATGACTTAACGTGACAGATTTCATCAAACAGAGGAAACTACAATGTATTTTAATATGCATAATTATATATATATATAAGGTTTTTCGATAAAATAAGAAGTTAACCGTTTACACCCGATCTATTTTTACGAAAAAGAACTGAAATTTATTTTTATGTGGTTTTAAAATTTACCTCGGTCATTAAATGCATGATTGTTTTTACTGAATTGATAACTGATATGCAAGTGAAAAACATGTAGACAAATTGTATAACATTTGGAATATGCTTAGAGTATGACTAAAAGGGTATGAAGAGAATGAAATGTATATGTGTATCTTATACAGTTTGGTAGGACAAGGCGTGAAACAAGAGTTAAAAAAACGAGGGCCAACGTTAACATTTTTCTTATGATATATTTATTGTGAACGTTAAACTGGTGCCGTTGAACTCGGCGATCAAGACTTCTCTGTTTGCTCAAAAACAACATTTCTTAACCTATTTGACACATTAAGGCCAAATGCAGTTGCTAATAAAGTTGATTAAAGTATGCAGAAAGTGATATATAAATAAAGTAGAAAATTACAGTGTCATGCAATACCATCGGCTTAAGAGAAATTAGAATGTGCCTTTTATATGCTTCACATGACACTTAAAACTCAGGGTTATACAAGATGTGAATTTGGTCTACAAGTTCCTCTTACTGGTTTATAGTCATTTTCGTCTAGCATCTAAATTTTGTTATTTTCAATAGTTTTTTTCGTTGTTGCTATTAATTCTGAATTTAATTAATATGGTATACAAGTTTAAGTTACTAATCTATTTCTAAAGTAAGTGTGAAGAAATAAAATTATGAAGTTGTTTTATGTCAGAATTCCATACAATTATTTTATTTAGTAAATAATATTATCAGTCAAAGAGTAACATAAAATAATAATTTATTAATCTTACGTTTAAAGTCAGATACAAGAAATATAACAAGAAAAAGGGAAGAAAATCGTTAATTTCCTTTAAAATGTAAGTTATAAAACAAACAAACACAATGATTACTTTTCTTGAGATTTAAAATCAATCATTCTTTTTTTGGTAGCAGACGTAACTTTGACTCCATAAATAAAAACAAATTGAAACTAAAATTTCACTTTAATCGGGTAAAGACTAAAGTTATTTAGTAACTGCATACGTTTGTAATTAGGGTCACCAAATTATGGACATATATTTTGCAGATAGACAAATTATATTTCCCAAACTATTCATGAAAATTAAATTTATTTTCTTCAAAGATTACCACGTGATAGCATATTAATCTGTAAACATGGAACTGCTACGAAACGGCCGCTTGATATGCCACGCTTTCTACTCAGGCAGTGTTTCCAGTAACACCATGACTCATAGATATCAAACTTAAGAGTATTTGGAATGTTAATATCCACATCAACAGTGACTATGTCCGCCATGGTTGATTAACAGAGTTCTGTAATGCCGCAGCATATCTTGTATGAAAAACTTTCTCAGAAACTTAAGCCTATAGACACATAGGAAACAATTTTTAGGGATTAATTTCACTTGTACCTCGGCACCACACGATAATCAGAAAAGGAGTATGTAACCATCTAGCAGAGTTGTGTTTGCCTCTCATGAACCACCTTTAGGGACTGATTTCACTTGTACCTTGGAACCAGAAACTCGGAAAAGGAGCTTGCCGCTTATGGAGAGCACACTAGATAACAAAGTGGATATTAACATTGGGATAAGTTTAATCTTTGGTATCTATAAGAGGGTATTGTAGCATACATTTCCTGGCAAGGGGCATTTCATATCAGGGGACTGTTACGGAAAAGTTCATGTTCCCAGCTTGGTGTAATACGACATTGTTTTAAGAATGCATACATTTTACTTTCATTATTAGCTTACAAGTTACTATTCAACAACTTGCAATATGCTCCATTAATCTTTTGATCTCTAATTAATTTGTGTAGTGTAAATTTTAGGGGTATGTGATATTGACGAAACAGGAATCGAATAACAGTATGTATATTATTCATAGTGGTTGAGATAAATTAGTAATAAATAGCTGGACTATAAAACTAAAACACACAGAAACAGTGCTTTTCTTTACGAGGGTTAATCCCCCCCCCCAAAAAAAAAACACATTTCAATCAAAGATTTATTACGATACCAATAAAGGTTTCAAGTAAACATATAAATAACACAGTCATGTTTACAACTATCATGAAAATATTCATATTTTACATAAGCAGCTGCTGTGAAATATTAAGCATAAGAATGTACAGTATCAGAAAAAATGATGAGACTCTTGCTAAGCAATCCTTCTTAATCCCTCTGACAAAAACTCCTCTTTATTTTCAAGAGCACTTCCACCTCTTTCATACGAATTTCCAATAACGCTGACTTTACACAGCACTTTTGTATGGTACCGTATCTCTGAGGAAATACACGACGTAACATCTTGAAATGTACATCTCAAATGATAATGTGGTTTCTGTCTGTCGATAAGAGGTATTTTCGTGTTAAGAAATCCCGATGAAAGAATTAAGCAACTGAATGAAATAAAATATTTTTAGAAAATAATTCTAGCTAGAAGTAAATACAGAAATCCCAAGCATTTGTAATGAAGTGCGATATTAAAGGCTGTTTGTAAAGGAATATCCTACCAAGTTTTTACCCTAATACACTCCCCTTTATCTTAACGTTATCTGCTGTATATTTGTATATACATATATATTTGTATATATTGCTATATTTGTACTACAACTCAATTATTCTAATAGACGATCTAAGAAATTTGAGAAAGCAGAAAAAATGAACAATTTGAAATATTTTTAAAAAGTAGACATTGGTTTTAGTAAAAAATATCGAAGAGTCGAGTAGAAATCGCAGAATTCAGTGAAGTTTCAAATCTGCTTATTAATTGGTCCATATTTTATATGTACTATGAAAAATGTGATTTTGAAATAATTCACGCAATTTGAACATTCGATATGTTTAAAAATTGTTATCTGATTATTTGATCCAACAATAATCACTATAATCACGAGCCCAACACTCCTACAGAGTATGTGACTGTAACAACATGCGTGACATTATAACAATAAACATAACCACAACAAGCACGAAACTACACAGAACAGACAGAAATTTAGAGCAGGGAATTTTGTGAACACTTCTCTTATTTACTATATCGATTAATCAAACTGAAGAGGAGAAAGGTAGGTGTTTGTCATGTAAACACTAACAGTGCCTTTTATGTTTGTCATGTAAACACTAACAGTACCTTTTAATTAACACTAACAGTACCTTTTAATTAACA